AGATAGATAGATAGATAGATAGATAGATAGATAGATAGATAGATAGAGCAGAGTCAAATCCAGGCTGAAAAATTAGATTTTTACCCAATTGAAAAGGACTCACTTAATGTAGACCTCTTTGTAGTTCAGGACCCACAGCAAATTGTTCTTCTTTCCTAATTCTACCACAGAACTTGTGTTTTTCTAAGAAAAGACAGTTAATTCACTGGCACTGAGGACAAGGAACATTTTTTAAAGTTTGGATTTATTTAAGCCAAATTTAACAGTGGGAAGTAAATCAGTACAGCATTCAGTTGATTTATAGATGCATTTTTGTGGTTGAACCCAATAAAAATAATCTTTTCAAACTGAAACGCATGAACGCTTCATGACATCTTGGATCATTCATCCAAAAGAGGCTCCAACTCCAGCCACAGGCCTCCTTCAGCACGCAGGACTAGTTGAGGAAGACGGCGAACTCTCCCAGATTTGCTTCCAAGTTCAGGGTTCACACCCAGAGTGAGACGAAACCTGAGTAAGGTCAACGCCACAACAACTCGAAGCTCTGCCATGGCAAATTTCTGCCCGATGCAGTTCCTGTAAACGAAATCGGATTATATTTTCTGTCAACACACATGGCCGTGTCAGATCTTTATTTGGCTTGATAACAAAACTGGACCTGGGGCCTGAGGAAAACGGGATGAAGGCGTGAGAAGAGTGGCTCTCTTTGTTGGTTGGGTCAAAACGCAGAGGATTAAACTCCTGGTACAAAAAAAAAGTAGTCACAAAAATTGAGCATGGCAGATTTGAACCTAATTAAATATTTCTGTCATGGTCTTACGTGTGGGTTTGTCCAGACCACAGGGTTGTGATGGGTACCATAAATGCTAACCAAACAGATTGCACCTGGGAAAAGGGGAAAAAAGAAGAAAAACTGACATTTTCCATCACAAAGTGGGCAACAATTGGGACATTGGCATACAGTAAAATAAACTAACTGGGGATATGCTGACAGATTAAGTCTTGTTGGTGCTTTAAAAAGGTGCATGCATGCCAAAAGTGTGGTGAAAAACTACACTAGACCAACAGAAAGACAGAGCTTCATAAACCTCTAAAATGTCAATGGTTCTCACCTTCTGGTACCGTGAGATCTCCAGGCAGCTGCATGTCCTGCGTGTACTTCCTTGTTACAGCCTGCACAGGCGAGTGGAGTCTGAGGCTCTCCCTTATACACATGGTCGTAAAAGGAAGGTTTGACAGATCCTCCCTTAAAAATGGGTTTGAAAAAGACAACTATTTAAGCAGAACTGTAACTGTAAGCTACAGTGAGTGTGTGTTTGTGCATGTTTTTTTGACCATTCTATTTCATGTTCATCCCGTCCCTTCATGAGCTCCATCACCTCCTGCCTGCATTTTTCCTGATAATGAGCATGATTTGCCAAATTATATAGTGTCCAGCAAATCGCACTGGCTGTAGTGTCATGACCTGTGAACACAGATCGATTTATACGTTAAAAAGTTATCAAATATTCTGACTGCCTTTTAAACATCTGACCACAGTCCAGCTATAGTTCATCTCACCTGCAAACATGAAGGTGTTTGCCTCAGCCAGTATCTCCTCATCTGTTAAACCATGTCCATCTTCATCCTTTGACACAAAAGAAAAATATATTACTGTTTTTTAATGCAATACACACTTTACTTTTGGATATTTTTTAATCTCTGTTTTCCTCTCATACTGCATCATATTTATCATCTCTCTTCTTACCTTTGACAGCAGTAAAATATCGACAAAATCTTTATTCCTCTTTGGTGTTTTGGTGTGACTGGATTGGACTCCTGTCTCTCTCTGCTGGTCAATGAGAGCACGACGCTTTTGAACCACTTCCCTGGTGAATCTGTAAACCATGGTGACATGAAGGTACACCAGCAAACTGCATTACAGTCTATTAGATTGTACTATGCATTTCTACAAAATACTGTGAGATCAAGTGAGAATCTACACAAAAGGAAAACATTTATTGTGAAATACATTTATTGAACTATTAAACTGAAAACTTTCCGTCTCATAAAAACAAAATAGCAAAGGGTGCAGAACTAGCACACAAAAGCATGGCCAAATCGAAGAGAAGATCATCAATTTTGCACAAAACAGAAAGAAAATGTAAACGATTTTTCAGGAGTAGCATTTTCTTTTTCATTTTATGTTTAACATCCATCATGCTCTTTGACTCTTTCCTTTACGTACAACACAAAAGGTCACACTGAAGCACATACCTATGCACAACATTTAAGGCCTGTTTAAACTGTTTTCCCTGCTGTGTTTTCCAGTAAATCCAATCCCAGTGGTGTAGGATCTTAAGTCGGCGATCAATTATCAGGTCACTGAGTTCCACGATGGCTGCCACATAGTCACTGGTAGACCTGCAGAGAGGAGGGTTTCTTAAAAGCTATCACTGCAACCAGGTCTGACTGTTCTGAGCTCAAATCCCTGAGGCCTCACTCCTGACAGTTGCTGCTGTGGCTGAAAGCACATTTCAGTAAACTGTCCAGTGTCATCAGAGTGACATGGTCGAACATCTCCAGGTTCTTGTTGCCTTCTGCAGCCAGGTGGCGCCATTTTTCCTAAAAATGAGAGGAAAGAGGTTTTTTATCTTTTGTTCACAGGTTTCTCCAATAAACATGTCATGAAACAAAAGCAAAATTAAAAAATTCAAGGTAATTGAAAAAACAGGACAGCTTTTCAGGAAGAGAAACCATAGAACCACAAATGAGACATTTTTCAGATCATAATTATAAAAAAAGACAACAAATGTGCCAAGAAGTGTTTAAGAAGAAGCTATGAAAAAACAATTGCGGATGCAAAAGTGTATTCATGCATTGAACCTGTTATTTTACTTTAATAAAATCATATTTTGTTGCTTTCTTAAATTCAATTGTTTATTTTTTACATTACATTATCTGAGCAGGGTTTCCTCTTTTGCTGAGAGGCCAGAGACGTTTATTTTCTTTGCTGTTTAAAAAAAAAGTTTCCTGTTTTGTTTTCAGCAAAGATGTAGTTTTTAAAAAAATGTATGTATCTTTTAGTTCTAAATGTATTTAATTGTTAATATTATTGGTCGTAAAATTCAGTTTGTTATTAAGTTCAACTTTTAAAACAGTCAGCAGTCTCCTTTGAACACTTCAGAATGCAGGATTGTCTGCACTGTGCAGACGCTCCTGTGTGTGTCTCTCTTACATGCATGGTGTTAGTTGAGGAGTTAAAAATGGCAGCGTAGTTCTTCAGGATTTCAAAATGAAAAGCTGGAGTCAGCAGTCGTCTCTTGCGAAACCACTTCTCTCCGCTGCTCAGCAGCAGACTTTGTCCTGGAATAATTGAGATAGTTTTCAAGAAGACAACAGTGATTAATCTGACTTCCGTACACACAGCCTAAAATAAAAAATTTCAAGAGGGTTTTATCGTCCGTTAATCTCTGACTCACCCAACCATGGACGCAGGTGGCCATAGATAAGCTCATCCTTCACCGTGATGTTGGCTTGCAGAGGTACAGAAGTAAAAGGGTCAAAAGATAATCAAACAACAGCCACAGGTCTGAGACATTTGGTCTGCATACTGAGCTGCCAGCTGCTACTTTAGCTGCTGTTTTCCCCTACCAGAGGCCATCAGCAGCGGTTTGACATAATCGGGGTGGAAGACTCTGACCAGATGATAGAAAGGCCCAAGAAACCAGCTGCAGGAGTGTTTGTAAGTCTGCACCAAGTCGTCAACTTGAAGAAGGCCTTCTTCTGTGCTCTGCATCTGAGGCATGAATAAGGTTGGATTTATCCTAAGGCTAAAAGATGTGTGTGAATGATGGTAGCTGTGCAGCATGAACATGCAGCAGAAATAAGGCTACGTGCTGTATTGCTTGAAAATCTACATTTAAACTTTTTAATCACTATTCAACAGCCCCGAAAGATGCATGTCATCGACAGGAAATTGTCTTACCTGGCCCATATGTCCTAAAAGCCACGAGTGTGTTTGTGGTTTATTGAAGCGGGACAGTCTGTGAGTGTACCAGGCATGACACACCAGCAGCCTCACAGTCCAGACTGTCACCACAGCCACAAGCCCTGCTGCACAGACCCGGAGGAATAGCAAGGGGTCCGTCCACTCGGCAGCCTGGGAGACGATGCTGTAGAGGAGAGCCATCTTCATCCAGAATCCGTTGCTCTGACAGTTGCTGCTCACAATTTGTTGAAATATCCTCCAATGAGGGAAAAAAAACTTTGCTTCTGCATGTTTCAACATGCAGAAAAGCGTTTTGAAACATGCAGAAGTAGGATTGCAATGATTTAAACAGGAACAACTGCTGTAACCAGTATAACGGCACTTTCTCTACATGCAAAAATATAGTCAACTCCCACATTGTACCTTTACTAATTTCAAGCTGAGCAAGACTTAACAGATGCTCAGAATGTTTTAAGTTCTTCTTAGAAAACTCATGACAGATCTCTCAGCTGAAAATAAAGCTGCAAAACATATATATATATATATATGTTTGTTTGTATGTATGTACACACAACACATATGTATCTTTAAAGATGTATGTTTAAACTATATGTTTAACGGACACTGATGGTTTTCTTCAGAAGTAAAATGGAACTCTGCTTTCACAGGGGGCCTTGAAGGCAACACTGATTGGCACCTGGTACACCTGTGAGACAGCCAGGTTGCTCTGGAAAAACCTAGTTTGGAAACCAAAGTCGAACTTTTACAACTAACGGAGGAGGCTGAAACTGTGAGAAGGAGTGGCTTTTTCTGAGGGATGTGTGCATTTGTCAGTTCCAGGTAAGATTGTTTTTAGGTGAAATTGTCCAGAATAGCTTGGAGAGAGTTCACCATGTTTGTTCAAATGTTCAGTTTAACTCTGCATATCAGTCTGAGAAATGTTTAAATTCCATAGGAGAGATAGAAAACAAAACAAAAAACAAAACGGTTGCTTCATTTGTCTATATGAATGAAAAACATTTTCTTTATTTATCATCATGGTCATTCCATAACAGTTTGAACAAATGCTTTCAGACTGCCAGTCCTTCCATTTGATAGCAGGATTGCCATGAAGTAGCTTACTTATATACAGCTCATATTTAACTTTATCTTTCTTGTTTTGTTGTCAGTTCATTTTATATAAACAGCCACTATTGTTTGTGAAGTAACATTTTAATTTATTATAAGGGTTGGATAAATAACTGAACTGTTCTGCAAAATTGACATTTTCTCATTTCTAAAGGTAAAATTAAAACATACATTTTTTACTCATTCGTATTTTGAGACAACCTTCTCCAGCTCATCTGCTATTTTTTCCTTTCTTTGTTCATGTTTCAGGTTTTCACCTTCATGCAAATGACATGGCAGAGGGCTATGCCACCCAAAGAGGGGATTCTCCTCCATCCTGCTCCCCGCTGTCCCCCCACTGCAGCACGTCCACCCAAATATGGCTGCCGTTTGAATCTCCTCTGCGGCCTCCCTGGAATGATGGTTTCACAGAGCAGGACGAGGTGCCTGGGGACTGTCATGCTCACGAGCAGTCAGGCAGATCCCCCTCATCACGTTTCTATGAGGAGCTTTTTTGTACCGGCCAAATCTCCATCCCTCTGGGTTCTCTGACTGGTGCCTTAATGGCCTCTTCTGGGCCGCAGAGTGATGTGGTGAAACAAGGGTATTTGGGAAAGCTGGAACGCAACCACAGAAGGTATTTTGTCCTGAGAGCGGGAAGCCACACTGGGCCGAGCCGGCTCGAGTGGTACAAGAGCCAGGAGAAGTTCACAGCAATGGAGAAGTCTGTTGGGAAAACTACACTGTTTGGATCGAACAAGCAAGGGTAAGAAAAAGTTGTGCTGGCTGGATAAATGTTTTCATGCTTTATAGATTTAAGGGAGAGGTTTCACTCCTCTTTCAGTACTCACACCAGTGCCATATTCCATATTCATTCATCATGGAGCTGCCCCTCATTTTCAGTTAAAAATGTGCAAGATTAACATTTAACCCTAACATAATATTCAACCGGACTAAACTGTTCCTTCAGGGTGATCTACCTGCGCTGCTGTCTTGGTGTGAGTCGGGTTGGCAGTTCCCGAAAAGGCCACATGTTGGCGCTGTATGACAAAGACCAGACCATGCTCCTGGTGATGGAGGACCAACAGCAACAGGAGGACTGGTATGCAGCTGTAAAGAAACTGATGGAGGAGGAGCAGAAGGATGACGAGCACGTGGAGGGAGTTGATGAAGAGGATGATGGGTATTGCACTCTTCCTCCTGCTGCTTTCTTTAAAGAGGTTGGAGCAGACTCATCATTTCACTACACACTATGCAGATAATCTGTCAGTCTAAACTAAGATGGCTTGACTGAATTAGATATTCTTTTAAAATAGGGTTTTCTTTCCAAGGGAGACATTTAACAAAGCTTTTTTTTGTGTGTATGTGTGTGAGCAGATATATTTTTTACTTTGAAATTAAATTGATGAGAATCTTTGGGATAGGAAAAAGATGTCAATTAAGTAACAAGTAGAGATGTAGTTATACTCTCATGGTAGTCAACAAAACAGAAAAGTCTTTAAGCTTATCATCCTTTCATAAATACAAAAACCCTGACAGGAAGGAGAAAATCCAGAGTTTAAAAAAGGAAGAGCTGTTAATCAGAATTACGGAAAATGAAAACTGAAGCTAGGTACTTGATGTTTCACTCACTGAAACTTTCTTATGTATTTTACTGTCTCATTACTGTATGAAACGATATGTCTGCGTCCTCGGGCCTGCTGCATTCCACCTCGGAAGGTTTGGTCCGTTAAGGTGAAGCCCAGAGGTCTGGGCAGTTCCAAACCCCTCACAGGGGAGAGCCGCCTCTGCCTCACTGCAACATCGCTTGTCTTGGTGCGACTGGGGACCAGTAACGATTTGCCGTCGGTAACTATACCTCTGCTGAGCGTTCGCCGCTTCGGCCACCTCGATGGTTTGTTCTTCTTGGAGCTCGGTAGATCAGCACCAAATGGTCCTGGAGAGATTTGGATGGAAGCAAGAGAACAAGGTGATTTTGTGTCACAAATTCGCACAGTTTCATTTGGCCTGTCTCAACACAGAGCTGCGAGTGGTCTTTCTCTGCCTGCTCTGACCAGGAAACCCAGCGCTGGCCCAGCACATTCATGAGGCAGTTCGGGAGACAGTTCGAGCCCTTCGTGCTTTTCCAGATTTCAGCAGTTCACCAACCTCCGGTCAAAGTCAGCCTCCAGCGCTTCTGGCCTCAAAACGCTGCCGGCCCAAATACAGAAGCAGGCCGGGCAACATGAGAACACTTACTCCTGTGGTTTTGCACCCCAGAAGTTCTGACAACCAAGCTGGTCCTGTAGAGATTCACCAGAAGCCCGAGACGTCAGACCAAACCAAGTCAGAATCCTGCCTGAGCTTCACCTCTCACAGCAGCCCATCCAGAACCCTGCAAAGCTCTGTTCCTGACACCGGCAGATATGTGGAAACGAGAAGAGACCTTTGCAAAGCTGCGGTCTGGAAGATGAAGACTTGGGAGTCGAGTGAAGTTGAGGAAGGGATAGGATACATGATCATGTCTCCACAGATCAGCAACAGCTCATCTGAATTGGCTCAGGATGACTATGTTACCATGGAGAGTCCACAGAAACCCAACCACCCAGCTTTTTCTTCTTCCTCCTCTTTCTCCTCTCTTCAGACAACTTTCAGCAGGTAAAATCTTCCTCTTTCCATTTACACCTGGAAATGTCCCCAAAAATGCAGAATAAGACTTTTTTCAACTTGCATTATCATATCTTCGCAGCTCCACCTGTGACGGCTACTCTCCTCTGCATCCGTCACGTCGTCACACTGAGGACAGTCGGCCTCATTGGCTCACGGTGCAGCCGTCGGAAACGGGAGCTGACCAATCCGATGTGAGCACCAGCTGCTCCTCTCTGCCACAGGGTGATGAGCAACAGGAGCAGAAGTCAGAGCAGCACAACCAACAGTCGCCTCAGACGGCCCCTAATGGTGACATGCCAACTCTGACCATTCCATTTGTTTTGAGTGGATCAGGCTGCACAAGGCTTCCACAGTCCAGTCCTAACTTTGACACGAGTCAGTCGAGTCGACCCCAAACCACGTCAGATCGTTCTGCTGACAGAAGATACTGGCTGTCAGCATGTCTGCTTTCTTGCCTTCATGCTGAGGATGGATCCTGAATGTTTGCTGCGTTTATGTGTCATGCAGCGATGTGATTTATTTATTCAGGTCTAATCGAAGGAAATATGTTCAAAATGTTGTATGAATCCAAAAGTGTGTGGCCACTGGAGGTCAATGTTGCCACCAATGAGATGTGCGCTGTACTTACAAAAGGTTTGGATGCAAACAAGAAAAAAAAAAAAGGGAAGCAAAACATGACCAGGCTGTTGAGGGGAAAACAAACTATTTACAGTTTTTGTGTATTTTTGTCACACTTGTTAAACATTTGTTCAGATTCACATCATTATGGTGTGGGCCTTTAATGTCCCAACAATGAGCACTGCATTTATATGTGAGAAAAATAAAGTTGTCTTTCCTGACTGCAAAGATATTTCTAGATATGTTATTTTATTCCACTATTCAAGTGTATTTTTATTTTGTGTTCATTTAATTGTACTTTCAGACCAAAGAATTTTAATACAGGCATGAGCATCGTAATATTAACATCACCAAAGTT